GCTGCCTCACTCTCTGCGAAGGTCGGAATTACATTGGAGGGCCTCCTGTCAGCTCTTTTTAAGTCTTCCGCAGGTGAAAGCTCAGAGTGCCTAGGGGTTTTCTCTCAGCTCTCCTGACTGCTCCCTCCCGCTTCGTAGTATTGCAGTACTAATTTCAGCAGCAGTTGGTGAAGACCAGTGTGGCAAAGAGTTGGGGATGGTGCAGTCTGACTACTTCTGAGGCTCTCCTAGATTCTGTTAGGCCAGCCCCACACATGGCCTGGAAAGTTGTTAGCACTGGTGAAGGCTAGATAACCTTTTTCAATTAAAGTAATTGATTGATTGATTGATTTTCAAAGAACACTTGCTTTACTAGGGGAAGTGGGTAACAAGGAGTTCTTGTCTAATGGTTACTGAGTTTCAGTTTTGCAAGATGAGAAAGTTCTGGAAAGTGGTCATACAATGGAGAGAGTATATTTAGCACTACTGAACTGTACACTTAGAAATGGTGTATCCCTGGCTGGTGTAGCTCAGTGGATTGAGTGCAGGCCTGCAAACCAAAGGATCATGGTTCGATTCCTAGTCAGGGCACATGCCTGGGTTGCAGGCCAGTTCACAGATGGGAACCCACGAGAGGCGACCATACATTGATACATTGATCTCCGTCTCTCCTCTCTCCTTCCCTTCCCTTCTAAAGAAATAAAATCTTAAAAAAAAAGAAATGGTATAAATTTTACATCATGTTTTTACCACGATACAAAAAATTGCTTTAAAAATATTAATACATAAATAATACCCGTAATTATGAAAAACCCCAGAAAATACAGACAAGCAAAAAGAAATTAAAAAATTACCTACAATTCTACAGCTAAGGTTAATGTTTTTGTGCATAAATATATAAATTGTCGTGTGTAGGTTCACACTGAATTCTTTTCTTTTTTTATTTATTTTTTTAATTGATTATCTGTTACAGTTGTTCTCTTCCCCCTTTATTTTCCCCTCCCCCCTACCCCCTCCCCCCCATTACCCCCCTTTGTTTGTGTCCTGTGTCCCCTGAAGTCCTTTAGGTTTCCTATATTTCCCATGCTATTCTTGCCCCCCATCCTTTTCTATCTACTGTCTATGCTCTTATTTTCTGCCTTCTCCCCTCTTCTCCTCCTCCCTCCCCCTGTTGCTAACCCTCCTTGAGATCTTCATTTCTATGTTCTTCCTGATCTAGCTGTCCTTTTAGTTTGCTTTGCGTTTTAGGTGTGGTTGTTAATAACTTTGTGAGCTTGTTGTCCTTTCACTGTTCATGTTTCTTTAACTTCTTTTTCTTAGATAAGTCCCTTTAACATTTCATATAATAAGGGCTTGGTGATGATGAACTCCTTGAATTTGATCTTATCTGAGAAGCACTTTATCTGTCCTTCCATTCTAAATGAAAGTTTTGCTGGATAGAGCAATCTTGGTTGTAGGTCTTTAGATTTCATGACTTGGAATATTTCTTTCAGCCCCTTCTTGCCTGTAAGGTCTCTTTTGAAATCCGTTGACAGTCTGATGGGGACTCCTTTGGCGGGTGATTGTCCCCTTAGCTCTTGCTGCTTCTAGGATTCTCTCCTTCATTAATTTTGGCTAATGTAATTATGATGTGCCTTGGTGTGTTTCTTCTTGAGTCCAACTTTTTTGGTACTCTCTGAGCTTCTTGGATTTCTTGGGAAGTCTATTTCCTTTTTGCCAGATTGGGGAAATTTTCTTTTATTATTTGTTCAAATAAGTTTTTCCACTGGTGGCGTGCCTTTCCCCCTTCTGGTACCATAATTCGGATATTGGAGCGTTTAAAGATGTCCTGGAGGTTCCCTGAACTCTCCTCATTTCTTTGAATTCTTGCTCCTTGACTCTTTTCTGTTTGGCCATTATTTGCTTTCTTCTGGTCCACTCCATTGATTTGAGTCCCAGTTTCCTTTTCATCTTATGGGTTTCCTGTGGAATTCCATTCATTTCCATTAGTTTGGCCTTCCTTATGTTTGTCTAATTTGTGGGTATAATCAACCAGATCTGTGGGGGAGCTGATGACCAGTGTTTTAAACTGTGCGTCTGAGAGTTTTGCTTTTCTTCCTTAGATTTCTCTGGGGCTTTGAGGTCTTCTCGACATTTTTGGTCTGTTCTGGCCCTTTAAGTCGGGGAAGCGGCGCCTCGGACTCCCAGTTAGCTGGGTTGTGACGCTTATGTGGGGGCGTGGTCAGAGCGAGGAAATGGCGGCGCCCTCTGCTCAGCGCGGCCGGTCCGTCCAGCCGCCCACTCCCTCGCCTGTCCGCTCGCGCGCAGATGAACGGCCCGCAGTCAACCGCCTCGCCTCCCCACTGTCTCCTCTGCTCGTCACCTGGTGGGTTGCTCGGTCACTCACTAGGTCCAATCCCTGCGTTTGGAACCCCGTGCGTCTGGATTCGCGAGTCTGGATTCCGCGCCTGGGTCCCCGGCGGAGTCCCTCCTGTGCACCCCCTCAGCAGACGGTTTCGCCCCTTACCCGGTCGGGCTGAAGAATTTGTTGTTGCGGACTCCAGTTCAATTTTCCGTGTTCTGGTTGTGTTTTCTGATGCTAATATTTAGTTGTCCCTAAACTTGGTTGTGTGTGAGAAGGCACGCACATCCACCTATACCTCCATCTTGGCGGAAGTCTGAATATGCTATTTCATAACCTCAGTTTTGCAAAGTTTACACTGCTTTCAACCCTATTTTAAGTTCCGTGTTCTAGGATATTTCCCATGTCTGTGAACACCAAGGCCTTAAACAGAGGTGAAACTGCACGTTCAGGGGTACACCCCCCTCCATGGAGGCTTCTCCTTTAGATCATGTGTCCTCAGCAGAAGGAAAGGCTTCTCCAACCCTGACCTGACAGTCAGCTCTGCTGTCAACTTTCAGTTGTTCCTTTCAGATATGTCCACACCCAGACAGGCTCCTGGTCCTTGGGGACCTGGTGAATGGACTTGTTCTGACTATCCTCAGTCACATGTCTATCCACTGGGATCATGTAAACACACCTTTCAGCAAGGTTAACAATTAAATTGTTGAGATGAAAGGTCAGGAGACCTGCCTGGAATTGAACATCAGAATGGGAGATAACACATCGCTAGTCACCTTCCAACTTCTCTGAGGAAAGGAGTCACTAAGGAACAACAGTCACACAGGAGTCTGCATTTTTAGGAGACCTCCAGGAATCATGCTGGAGAAGTTCTGCAACTCTACTTTTTGGGTGAGAAATTACACTTATCTTCTTCTCAGGCTCAGAACGAGTAGTAGATTAGCCTAGAGCAGCCACTAATAAGAACTAGAGAAGTTATATATGCTGTTGCTCTAAAGCAACTCTCTCTCTCTCTCTTCGTGGTAAAGCTCAGGGTATTTTTAAAATAAAAGAATGTCATAATATCTCCAGAAGACATTCTATATGGGAGAAGTAATGTATTTATTTTATAACATATATTTATTGTATCCTGACTCTCTTCTTGGACAAGCTATCTACAAAATTGCCTCTCTAAAAAGAAATAGGGGGTGGCTTCCAATTCCATCCATGTTAGGAGTGAGAACTGAGTAATTTGTGGGGTAGAAGGAAGAAGAGAAGGTCCGTGATTGAGCCCTGCTGAGATATGTTAGTGCTGAAGTGGTAATGATTTGTTCTAGAGGAGCTGGCAATCAGTGATATGGACTGGAAGGTGAGTCCAGGGATGCACATGTGAGCATCATGAGCACTGAGACAAAATCAAATGGTTTATTGGGAGAGAATAAGAAGGGACCTTGCATTTAGTGATCTTGTAAAAGTGTGGTCTACAAACTCAGCATCAGCATCAGAATTACGCAGATTGTTAAATAGTTTAAATATCGTAGGTAAGAAGTCTTAATTCTGAAGTTGGATAACCTCACGGAGAGTTAAGAAGAGCAGGAATGAGAAAGCAGAGCACATGGGCAGCACTTCCCAATCTTAGAAAGACCCTGGGCCCCAAGGCCCTCAGAGCCAGGAAATGTGTACCCCAGGAAGATAGAGCTTAACAGGCCAACCCTTGAGAATTTTCTGAGAATTACCTGGCAGATCATTTTGATCAGAGCACCTCAACCTTTTCTTTAAAGAGTCTGTCCAAACAGTCATACAAAAACAATTAAAAAATATTTATTAGGAGAAAATAATCTACCCTCACATGACTCAGATATAAAAACTAGTGCCCCCACCTCAACTCACAAGGCCCTTCTTTTTATTGCAGAATGCAGACTAGTAAAGAACCTGCTAGGAATAACCTTTTGTCCATTAACGTCATTGCCGCTTCTGTGCTGAAGGCCCCCTTGGGTTCTGACATAAGCCCTTGGGAGTCTAAATGTTGTAGTATGACTAAGCATGCCTCCTGCCCTCTTATTTATCCTCACCGGAGGATATGTTTATTGATTTGAGAGAGAGAGAGAGAGGAAGAAGGGGGGGAGAGAGAATGAGAGAGGGAGGGGGGAGGGAGAGAGAGAGAGAGAGAAATGTGGATGTGAGAGAGAAACGTGCCCTGACCAGGGATCAAACCCACAACATTTTGGCAGGTGGGGTGATGCTCCAATCAACTGAGCCACCTGGCCAGGGCTGCCTGTATGTCTGAATGTCTGCCAGCAAGTTCATTCAATGCTAAAAACTAGAATAAGACGTTTTTACATCCCAAGGAACTATTCTCCTCTTTGAATTGGGGAACTCTCCCTCTTCTTCCCACAACTTGGCAAACACAGTGGTGAAGTTAAGTCAGAACAACTGGTGGGGAAATTTGCTTAGAATCACAGGAAGAAAAGGTCTTTAGAGGTTGAATGGGTCAAGAAGTCACTAGATGTCATTAAATGATCAATTTATATCAATGGAAATGAATAGAAAAATATAGCTAACTAAAGGGCCAGGCTGGATATAGATACAGAACTGAGTTAAAATTGTTTTGAAATGTGTTGGGTGTGGAGGGTATGGGCTATGGCTGGTCTTCTGTCTTCAAAAACTTGTAACCAACAATCATCACATTTTGCTCCGCCAGAATTCCTCATTGCTGGATAGCCCGGAGGCGGACCTGCCAATTTGTTTTGAGCAAACAGTTCTGGTTTGGATTCCCTTGGGCTTCCTTTGGCTCCTGGCCCCTTGGCAGCTTCTCCATGTGTACAGATCCAGGACCAAGAAATCTTCTGTAACCAAGCTCTACCTTGCCAAGCAGGTATGGAAACCCCACTGTTTTCTGACTGATTCCGTGGTGCACCATAGAGACATCTTCCTGGTGGTGAAAGTGTCTTCTCCGTCTTTAACCGGCTTTTCCAGGGGCTGTGGTCTCAGGCAGAGCCAGGTTCTGAGTGTCCCTCCTCCGCCTGCCCTATGCTTCTGTGCTCCCTTGCTATATTTCCTACTTAAGGTGACTTTGATTTTTGCAAAAGAATAATGACTCAGAAATCTTATGGGTAGTGGACACCCTCAACACCAGTAATGGGTTCTCAATCCATCAAATACATAAGTATTAACCTTTCAGTATTTGAGAAGCTAACACTGGTTTCCCTATCTCTAAGCTGTTTCAATATATCAGGAGACTGTAAATCAGTTGGCACCGGCCATGAGGTGAAAATGAACTATGTAGTGTGCCCTCTTCACTGTTGAGGTGATCCAACCATCACCGTTCGCCTCTCTGAACTTGGGTCTGAAATGCGGCTTTCGTTCTCCCACAGTCTTCCATAAGTCTAGATGATCATTCACAGTAGAGGGAGGAAGGGTTTGTGCTCCCAGTGATGTGCCTCAGGAAGGAAACAATGGAAAGAGCAGGGCCCCCAGGAGAGAGCCCAGGAGGAATGAGGGGAGGAGCCCCTCAGCCGGCTGTACTTGTTCATGTAGAGTCTTGTGGGAAATGAAAGACCCTCATTTGAAGTTGCTACCTCAGAAGGTTAACCACCTGCTTGTTTTCACTAGGTCCCCTCCACTGCCCCCACCCATCTGATCTTTACACAGGGTTTTAGAAAGGAAAGTTAGACTCGGAGTTCTGTGAGCATACACATCAATGACCTCAGGCTACCTGCACTCAGAAGGGAACTTGCCCAAAGGAAGTGGGATTTGCATCAACACAGTGAGATGGGGCTGGTGGGGGTTTTGTAGGGCTCTGAATGGGGAGAGAACTCTGTCTGAGAGCTGGGGGCACGGTCATTGTCTGCCCTGTTGACCTGAGTGCACAGCACAGGGTCTAGCACTTAGTAGGCACTGTTGAATATTGGTATTACATGCACTCTAGAAATAGGTGTTGAGACAAGAATGTTTTAGACTCTGAACATTGAGCTTGGGAATGAGTCAGAGCTTTTTGTCAGAGTCACTGTGTGAGTCAGGGAGCATCCTAAAAGGAGTCACTCAGACATATTTGTGTCTTTCCACAGTGCCGGGTTTATTAGGTGAGACATCCCTAATAAGCCAATAAAGTCACATGAAGATTGCACACAGAGAGGGGGAGCTTATGAGTTAGATGTGAGCAGAATGCCCACCTAGCCCCTGTCACTGGTGGTGTCTGCAGGTGGAGAGGTAGGCATCTGTTTCAAGCCAAGTGGCTGCAATGGCAACACGTCTGGTGAAGTTGAAGTCTGGTGGGGCTCCAGGCAGGACCCATGGCACAGCCAAGTTTGATTGTTAGTGGGGTGGTGGGAGCTCTGAGTTCTTATAGCCACTACAGGTGGAGGTCCCACCCATATCACTGTGCATATGGGGTCCTTACCCAACTGTCCCGACTTGTGGTTTGGGCATTCTGGGCCCCTGCTAAGGATGTTCCTGTTATACCCCATTACTTCAGTTTTGACATTGCACTTGACACAACTGTCATGGCTGACTGTGACTCCGTACTGGACTGTTGAACATGTCTAAAAGGTACACCCTCTTCTTGTCCCATACAGTCAGTCAAGTCTGCAGTGTCCAGGAAAAGCCTGGGTAATGAGTAGATCAGTGTCCCACCATAATCACTGCTATTAGTTAACTTCTAAAAAACAATTTTCTTGAAATGTAATTCATGTTACCATACAATTCTCCCATTTAAAAACTATTCTATTTTTTTAAGTTTATTTACAGATAGAAGCAACCATCACCCAGTCAATTTTAGAACACTTTCATTCCCTCATTAAGAAACCCCTATCTCCTCATCCCCCTTAGCTCTGCATAACCATTAATCTACTTTCTGTCTCTATAGTTTCCCTGGCCTAGATTTTTCATATGAGTGGAATCATATGTGGTCTTTTATGATAGGCTTCTTTCACTTAGCATAAGGCTTTCAAGGTTCATCTATATTGTAATATTTATCAGGACTTCATTCATTCTTTTTTAAAAAATATTTTATGTATTTATTTTTAGAGAGAGGGGAAGGGAGGGAGAAGGAGAGGGACAGAAACATTGATGTAAGAGACAAACATTGATCAGTTGCCTCTTCTATGTGCCCTGACCAGAGATGAACCTGCAACCCAGGCATGTGCCCCTGACCAGATACAGAACCAGCCACCTTACACTTTGCAGGATGATGCCCAACCAACTGAGCCACACTGGTCAGGGCTCCTTTGTGCTTTTTAAAAAATCCTCACCTAAGGACATGTTTATTGATTTTAGAGAGAGGGGAAGGGAGAGAGAGAAACATCGCTGTGAGAGAGAGACATTGATTGGTTGCCTCCCACATGCACCCCAACCAGAAATGGAACCTAGGTATGGTCCTGACCTGGGATTGGACACATAATCTTTTGCTGTATGGGACAACTGAGTCACCTGGCCGGGGCAGTACTTCATTCCTTTTTATGGCTGGATAATAGTCCACTGTATAAACATATCACATTTTGTTTAACTTTCATAAACAAAAATCTCTATGGAAAAAAAGAAAAGCAATGTATTAGTTTTTCCCCTTTTTTCCATAGAGAATAATCCACTCACCCTTGCTCAAACTCTCAGGAGCTCCATTCATAATTTATATACTTTACTTTTTTGCCCTCTACCATGAGAGTGACAAACACAGATTAGCTTTCTCTTAAAAAAATAATAAAAATAGTCTCTTTTCTGAAAAAGTCAGAAGTATAATTCCCCACAAAACAAAACTACATCTTTCCACAAGAATCTTCTTAACTCCTCAACCTGATTGTGTTTTTTTTTTATTTCTCTGCTTCCTCTTCTCCCTGCCTGTGGGCTGTTTGCTCCTCTCACTCTCCTCAACAGTTGTTACTGCCATTCTTGTTCAGTTACTAATGCAGCATTCCCCTCATCTGAACTTGGTGCATTTGCTTGACCAAGCTGGTGAGAGACTCTGCAAATTTATTTGTTTAAAGGTGCATCCTGACCTGGCCGGTGTGGCCCAGTCTGCTGGAGCGTCATCCAGTAACTGAAAAGCTGTGGGTTCTATTTCCGGTCCGGGCACATGTGGGAGTTTCTTCCTCACATGGATGTTCTGTCTCTCTCCCTTTCCCTCTCTCTGAATTTAAAAAAAAAAAAAAGTGCATCCCTACTGAAAGGACCTGATGTACAGTAGATAACTGAATGTATTGAATAACAAAATGAATGAATGAATAAATGAACGAATTAGTGGATGAGCTCATAGTCTAGGGGAACAGAAGAGGAATCTGGTTCTGGAGGATGTGGAAGTGCTGAGGTGTGAGAAAAATGTGCAGCACAAATGAACATGATGTATAGCCAGTGAGATGTGGAAATTACCTCAAATATTTGCAGAAGTATAACATAGAAGATTGCCTAACTAGTTCTGAAAAGTTTCACAGAGCAAGATCAAGGTAAATGGGTGGAGGTTGTTCTAGGGGGGTGGGCTTTGGCTAATATACAAAAGAATTTTCTAATAATAATAACTGACAATAGAATGGACTGTTGGGGATCCCTGAAACATTTGTCTGCCAGGGAAGTGGTGGAAGCTGACGCTCTGCAATGGATGGAAGAGTCAACCAGAGTGCCTTGTCACTCAGAAAGTGCAGGTGAAGGGAGGACTGTGAAGAGATGGAGTGGTATTAAATATGGCCAAACCACTCCCTTTCTTTTTAAAAAAATTTTCTTTCTTTCTTTTTACTTTTATTCTTAGAGAGAGGGGAAGGGAAGGAGAGAGGGAGAGAAACATCAATGTGTGGTTGCCTCTCACATGCCCCCACTGGAGACCCGGCCCACAACCCAGGCATATTCTCTGATTGGGAATCAAAACGTGACCCTTTGGTTCACAACCTGAGCTCAATCCACTGAGTTATACCAGCCAGGGCTCCTTTCTTTTTTAATACCAGTGTGATTCTATCTCCTTAGGAAGTTGAGTTTAGTAAACAACATGGGCGCTTGAAACTCTTCCAATAAATCAGAGATTAAGGGCAAACACTGTTAAGAACTTGATAATCATTAACCACAAGATACCCCTGATCCTATGTAAATAAAGTGTGTATATGTTTCTAATTATAAAAATAATGCCTGGTTATTGTAGACAGTTCGGGAAATAGGAAGAAAATTAAATTATTGATAATTGTGTTACTCTGATATACTCTTGTTAACATTTTGGTATGTTCCCTTCTATTCTCATAAAAAAAGAAAAAGTCTCTCACCCTAGCACCTCCCAAGTCCCATTATCCAGACTGCCATTTAAAATTATTTTGATGGCTACCTCCACATTTGCAAATAATGTATTTATACCTGTATTTCTTGATCTATCGATTTTAAAAATCTATTGCTGCTTTCATCGACCCATCTCCGAGCTTCCTTTCTCTCTCTTCCTCTCCCTCTTGGTCTTTCAATTCTCTACAATCATGTTCCGTCCTTCTGGTGGTTGCCTTTACACCTAAAACTAGTCTGCCATCAATTTTAGACTCTACATCCTGATGCCTCTTTGTGTAAAATAATAGAATCAGTGCCCTCACATTTCTTGGATCTGGAGAACATCCTTCACTAAAAATTTCAGGAAGCACAACAGTGAAGAAAGTTTCCAAGGATTGATTCACTTTCTGAAAATGTTCATCTGAATGTGGAATGCTAGCCTCAAAAAACAAATATATATATATATATATTTAATCTCTGAAGATGTTACTATATTGTTCCCCAGAATTCTGAGCTACCGAACTAGGATTTTTCTCATTCCTTGTTATCCTCTCTAGAAACTTTTATTCTACTTATTCTTGATGTCCTGAAATTTTACAGTCTGTTTGCATGGGTCCCTTTTTATTCAGTGTGTTCTACATTCTCTTCCTA